TAGGGGGGGGGGGGGGGGGATCGGACCCTCGGCGACCTCTGGTCTTGCGAAAGAGCAAGGTAAACTACAGGTAGACGTTCCTACAGCAGAGCCTTGTGACCCGTGTTCTTGTGCTCGCTCGGTTCCATTGCTTTATTCCGTCATGCCGTGCCGTGTCTCAGTGGACGCATTCTCGATGGTGTGAAATATGTACAGTACATTCCATAGTTGCGATAGCGTCAGGCCGCTGGATTCACAGTGTGGTTCAGAGACGATCACTCGCCCTGTACGGGAGCTCCTGCTTACTCTCCATGCAAGAGCCAATTGCTGGCAAGACAGGAAATGCTGTTAGCAGCAAATGTTTTGATGCAGTGTACAACTGTGGAATTAACTAATGAGTAACTATCACCAGCAGTCTGTGAAACTGATGACCAGTTGATCAGTGGAAAATGTGGAGGGCTCGTGAAACTCTCCGGCAATGCTTTAGAACGTTGGGCAAACGGAGCTGTGCGTCTGACGCTACGGCCTGCAGTTTGGTTTCTCAAAGGAAGCAGAATTATGATCAGTTAGCCTGCCTCGCAGCGATACCGCTTTACTGAAGAAGGCTGAAGGTCGACAGTCGTTACAGTAGCATCCTCCGGCCTTCGAATGACTTCAGACAGGTTACAAAAGCTGTGTCGTTTTAGTCTCTCGTTCACTACCTCCACCGCACCTCTGCTGCCAGTCTGACGCAAACAGGGATTAACTGCGACGTGAACGAGGTGGCATCTGTAATGCACCCAAGACTTTGCTGCACTGCATACAAACTGGAAATCTTTCTCCTTCTTCACAAACATGAGGTATGACAACCTGAGCTCCTTTCAGACAAAACAGGCACAGACATTGCCTGGCTCCTCCATTCAGAGGAAGAGGAGGAGTTAAGAGGTACATTTGTCTAAACAGGTCCAATTATTTTTCAAGTTCAGGATTCTAAGGACTTCAATTCCTTGGTAGAGTGTCCAAAGGTTTTCTGTAGTGAGAGTTAAAAGTCAATAAGACAAAACAGACAGCTTTTAAGATCCTACTGTTGTGTCTCTGCTCTGGCGGGATCTTTTGAATATCCACTCGCTCTCAGTCTCGTGAGTAAATCGCAAAATGCCCCCAATAATTCATGAGGGCTCAGAGAAACTCTCCCATAAATACTAAAATCAGTAGATACGACAACAAAATCTCTTCAAATGCGTTTTCTTATAGCACCAAAGTGGGATCCTGTGACTAAACTGCAATTGTATATATGTGTATTACATTCCAGTTCTCTAATGCTGAGTATCTAAACTTTGACGTATGATGTCGGTCTCTGTCTGTCTGTGGCTGAAGGTTAGTTCTCTACTTTCAACAGCATCTCAATTTGATACTCTATTTACATATTTTAAAAAAACAACAATATCAGGAAGTACTTTTACATTCAGGTCAACCTGGAATCACAGGTTTGAGTAAATTTAAAAGAGACTGATTGTGAACTGACCATAATGGAGAGTCACAGAGATATTAGTAATGTAATGCAGACTGAAATCTTTCAGCAGGTGTTTGAGATTAAGTCTCAGTTGAAAACAATAAGGGGGGAAACCAAGAGTACCTATGGAAATGGTTCATAGGTATCTTCCTTTTCATTTCAGGCCTACACTACAGTTGCGGAGACTGAATTTACTGATATCAAAAGGGGGACTGCTTCAAACTCCAATCTCCCTTGCTCAGGGTGTGGATTAGGTATGAACTAAACTGTGAGGGTTCTGCAATGGAAGCCAAAAATTTAACATAGAATCCAAAAGACCCTGGCTAAGAGAGAGGAAGTGAGGTTTGATCTCCTCCTCCTCTGAGTGCCCCAGGGCACGATACTCGGACCTAGACAACGTAACACAACTTTAAAAATACAGCAGAATTTCAGTCACAAAATATCACATTTCTCCCCAAACAGATTATCTATCCACAGTTCCATCAGATCTTTTTTCATTTGTTTTGTAATAGTCCATATTTTGTGTTTAAATATTTGGACATCGCTCCAACCCATCCCTTTCTCCTTCGATTTCATTCATTCAGTCACCACTTCATTCTCTCTGGTTTCCTTTGCTTTCGTCGTTCCCCTCCCCACTCCTGTCCATCCCTAGCCCACCTTCTGAGGGTTGGTGGCACGGACGCCTTGCTCGTATGTGATTCGCTGGCTGATGAGATACTGGGCGGCCTGCGTTGCTGCCGGCGACCCTGTAATGGTCACCTTGCGATTGCGTGTGCCTGGAATAAACTCTCCCTTTTTGGAGATCTGAATTCGCGCACCTGTCAGCTCCTGATACTCCACGAGAGTCTTGCCGCCTTTTCCCAAGATGGCACCGACCAAGTTCTCTGGAACAGCGATCTCCACCACTTCCTTCCCACCTTCTGCTAGCTTCTCTGTGCCCAGTAGAGATGATGCCACCAGCGGGGATGAGGGATTCAGGTAACCGTTAGACACCCCTGTGGCGGCTGCTAGGGAGCCCAGTGAGAAGCCCCCTAAGCTAGGTGCGACATGGTGACCGCCCCCTCCAGAGGCCTCGCTGGCGTATGTAGCAAGCAGATTGGCGGCTGCTGCAGCCGCTGGATTGGCGCTAGCCGCAACGGCAGCGAGCACCCCAGATGCAGCGGCTGGGTTGAGGCCAAGCCCCAGTGTATTGGTATTGTAGCCATAACTGGCCAGAGTGTTCAGAGCAGATGTAATGGTAAGCAGATCATTACCGGAAAGACTTGACATGGCGGCAGGGAACCCACCCATGCCCACGAGACCCGCCTGGCCAAGGAGCGTGGAGGCTGTAGCTGCCGCTGCGGCGTTGGGTAACACCTCTGTAGAGTTGGCAAAGGGGGATCCAGTTGGGTTGGAGTTGGCCACAGGGCCTGTGATGTTGGAGTAACTGATATTGAGACAGCTGCTGCTCTGTGGGTCCTCCTGAATCTTCTGAACAATGATCTCCACGGCCTTGCGGTTTTGCTCTGGCTCCCCACTCACTGTCACGACACGCTCCTGCAGATTGATGCCCTCAGGCTTCTGAGAAAGCTGTACCCAGGCTCCTGACTGCTCCATCACAGCCTTAACTGTTGCCCCACCCTTACCGATGATGAGTCCTGCTGTGCTGTTGGGCACGATCAGTTTAGCCTGTGGAGGAGGGGGAGTGTCACTTTGACTGAGGAACAGAATTACATGCATGAGACTGCACACAACCCCAAAAATAGATACTGCAATAAGCTTAAGTGCGTCTGTGCTGGTTATGTAGATGCTTGTTTTCTGTCCACAATCATACAGTAAAAAATGGTTGTTATATATTTCTTATTTTACTATATGAAACCCTGTATGCTCGTATATGTTTAAGAGTGTGTGTGTGTAATAGTGTGTGTGCGTGTGTGTCTGTGTTAGGTCTGGCTCTTAAGTCAGTGCTTATATCAGCCATTTGTTGATCCCCGGTCTTACATTGCAGCTGCTCTCTCTCACTCCCTCTCTGTTTCTCATTCTGCAAGGATCAAGCAGGTAAAAATAACCCACTGCTCTCACACTTTGCTGTCCCTCTCTGCCACACTTTCCCTGGGGAACAACCACCAGCCTGCCCTGCCCTCTGCCTCCTCTGGGCTGGTATATTTGCCTGTCTTCAGTGTTGCTTATCACTGTCAGATAGCTGACAGTAAGTACATTTACATGCACTTTAGAAATTGATTTCAGTAAGACTAAAGCAATAATTCACCTTTCTAAATTGTCATTTAAACGCTCATGTACAGATGAAAACTGTAGCTTGACTATGCAAAACTTAATTATACTCAATACTCAATTATATTCATGTAAATGTACTCACTGTCTATGCTGTCATTCTGTAAGCTAACTAATCAAAATATTACAGATACTATGAACTAAGCTGTGGTTTAGGGGAATAACTAATTTGCATGTTTAATTCTTAAACTGCAAAGTCTAATATGATTAACTCTACATCAAACATTTAATAACTAAAAACTTGTACAACTGTCACAAACTAACCTGTTTAACACGGTCAGGGTTAACAGTAGTCTGTGGCTGGAGAATGCTGACTGGTTCGGTCTTCTGACTGCTCTGAGGCATCTCACGAACTTTTTCAGCGATGAAGTTATGAACTCCATTCAGAGCTTCCACCGTACCTTGAATCAAACAAACACGCTCTGTCGTACCTGACCAAACACACACAAAAGAAAAAAAACATAATGTTAGCATATAGAGTTTGCATGCAAAATTTCAAAATGTAAAACATGTAAACACATCAAATGAAATTATGTATAATGTATCAGCATATACTGTATGCATATTACACTACCTACAAACAAAGTTTGGGGTCTGTATGATTTTCCAATGTTTTTGAAAGAAGTCTCTTATGCTCACCAAGGCTGCATTTATTTGATGAAAAATAGAGTAAAATTAGTAGTTTAGTAAAATATTATTACAATTTAAAACAACTGTTTTCTATTTGAATATACTTTAAATTGTTACATCTTAAATTGTTAAAACTGTTACATTTTACATTTTCAGGAGCCATTACTCCAGTCTTCAGTGTAACACGATCCTTCAGAAATCATTCTAATATGCTGATTTGGTGAGCATTTCTTATTATTATCAATTACATTTCTGAATATGGCAGACACTTCTATCCAAAGCAACTTGCAACTTAACAAAGCTGTATTCAAGGTGTACATTTTATCATTTCATGAATTTCCTGGAAGCTGAACCCATGACCTTGGAGCTGTAAGCACCATGCTCTATTGTTTGAGCTATATATTTAAGGTCATGCAAACACACATTACATTTTCAAAGAAGCTATTTTTCCTTTCTGTATAAATCCATCTATTAGAAAGAATGAAAAGGGCTGTTGTAACACAGGGGGAAAAAATGATGAACTTATGGCTGCATGATGTAATTCATTCTGAATGCATTGAATTCTGAACCTGTCCTCTCTATCCACATCCCTCCCATGGGACACGCCAAATAAATGTCCAGGACACACACACACACACACACACTATCTACTAATCTTTGGCATATCACTGTCCTGAAGTGCTTGACCTGTCTGGAATACTGCTGTAACTGTGAGCACCCTAAGAACCCATGCTTGGCTGGACCTATTTTACCATGACCAGCAAAGTCTACAATTAATTGAAGCACACACATTGAAGCAACAAATTCTTCCCCAGTTTCAACATTTGCTCTTCAAGATGTCAAAGGCTTACGAATAAAACATGCTCCAATAAAGTACGCAGAAGAGAGTGTGTGTGTGTGTGTGTGTGTGTGTGTGTGTGTGTGCTAATTTCAGTCCTTCTCTTGTTCAGGAGGTGTGTTTTGTGGTAAAAGTCTGCAGTTAAATGAGTTTTAGGAAAAGACCGAATTATAATTTACATGTGTGCAGGCTACAGTGTGTGTGTGGTAAAACACACGCTGGCTGGAGTAAAATTGCTCAGCTGTAGGTGAATTCTTTTTATAGCTCTCTTGCGAGCAAGAGAGAGTTTAAATGTTTCCCTTTCAATGTCTCATAAGATAAATGAGGTCTGGAAGAGAAGCTGCTATTTTATCAGAGACCCGAATGATTGAGGATGTGCTGGTGTTTGTGCCAGAGCAGCACTGCTTGTTGTACAAAAGCAAAATTCAGAATCAACGAATTAACTTCCTTTCAATTTATGAGTTGGAATTTGAATGTAATTAAACTGGTCACAGCACACAAGAAGTTGAATTTGAATTGAAATGAAAGGAAGAGGAATTTATTAATGATTATTTTTATTTAAGAAGTTCCTCGCAGGTAAAAGAAATCATAAAATAAATTGTAACAAATTTAAAAAAAAAAAATTCAGGTGAAAAGAAAAAAAGCTTGGTCAAGGCAACATGCAAACTTTGCTTTTTTTATCAGATTTATAACAGTTATATTAGTAGTATGGATTTTCTTGTAAAGAAGTTGATTTAAAATCAATTGAAATTAAAATTGCAATTTTGCATCCTGTTTGCTGAATTGCACCAATTCAAATTTAGGATTCATTTCAAATTCAGGAATTCAAATGGAACTTGATGGTATTCTCAATTCTGAATAGTGCACAACCCTGGTTGTACTATATATTACTTTGTGTGCTACTATGACGTTGTGCTCTAATGATAAACGCACTGAAAATAAATGTTCAGTTTAATTGAAATCTGTAAAATATTTTTTAAATGGTGGAATGATGAAAGGTGAATTTGCAGGACAATAAAACTGCACAAGCAAATGAGAAGACAAGTGAGAATGTGTGTTTGTATGTGTTAGTAGGGTAAGTAAGGGTGAAAGGCAGAACAGGTGGTCTCAGGACAGTTTTAGTTGTAACGGGTGTGTTTAATGAATGAAAACATAACTATTCACAGACAAATTATGCTCACAATATTCAGCTGTACGCTTCACAGCTGCAACACACACACACTTTCTCTCTCTCTTTCTCACATATTTTCTCTCCCTATGGGCACATTTTCCACTGTCATTCTCTGCCGATTTTATTTTTCACGCTACAACATAAAGCAGCTTCTTAATGGCACATGGTGGAAAAGATACTATAGTCAATGACACAAACAGGCCAACATCTGTAAACGGCCTCATTCACATTAATCTACCACGGTGTAGCTCTCCGTCAGACCTTCTGCATAATATTCAGAAAACGTACAAGCTTGTTGTTTTCTAGTATTCTAGATTTTCAGCTTGCAAAAATCTACTGGTGTTAAAAAACGTTTATCAGTGGGATTGAAGATTGCATAAAAAAATGCTGATGTAAAACTCATCCTTCATTCCTAAAAATAAAGACTCCAGTTATGACCAAAAATATTGTTACAGATTGATGTCACAAAAGAACCTCGAACATTTTTTTTTATCTCTAAAAATCCAGTGCAAAATTGTTACTGATACTTTGAATGATCTTTTTTTCAAGAGTGTTTAGTGTGAAAGAGATTTATGCATGGCACCATTAACTCCGCCATCTGTTGCACAGTAAATAAAATGATTTAACTGTGAGGATTTATAACACAGATCTAATAACATAAATTATAAATAGATGAGGTAAAGTGAACTCTTTCAATTAAAACAAACAAAAAACAATATGTGCCAAGCTCTGAAATAAGTAATGTTCATCATTATTTAAGCCAGACAGAAGATTTGATTCATACCTGGGTAGAAGTCTTTAGATTTGGACAGTTTGATGGTGGCTCCAGTCTCTTTCTGAAGCTGGACGATGGTTTGCCCCCCTTTACCGATGATTGAACCAGCGGCATAGCTGGGAATCAACACCTTCAGGAAATATTCACCCTCCTCTGCATATGCACACAAAAAAAAACAAACACAAAGTTACAGATAAAAGCATCTAAATTCTAATATTTTTTTTTTAGAAATAAGAAAGGTCTGAGGTGTACATTCACTGTATATCACAGTTACTAATTATACATTTATTTTACAGTGCTGTTCCACATGTACTTATTATAGTGATTACAATAACTGGGTAATAACTACGTACTAACCCTGAACCTACCACAATCCTAATCTTAACCCATGTAGTTACCTTATATTACCCATTCATTTCTTAGGTAAGTACATTGTACGTACAAAATAAAGTACAACCATAATACTGTTTAAATATAATTGAATATTCCTTTTTGTTTTTATGCAATCTGTAGTCATGTTTAATTCAGAGGATTTTTGGGATGTGTTACACATTTCTGTAAAACTGTAGTAAGATTATGTAACAGTTTGAAAACCTAAAGCCAACCAGAGGCCATATGAGTGCACCATCATTACCTCACTACGGCTCCTCCTTTTGAAACAATATACAAACTAAACATGAAAAGTACCGTCTGGTTATTTTGTTCACTTGCCTTTTTCATTTCTCTATATTTATTTCTTCACTTTTTCTCACTCACTTTCTCTCCCTGATGAGTTCCTACTGATTCTGCCTCTGTCCCACTTTTTCCCCATGCAGAGATAAAGTGACCTGCTTTGGGTTGGTAGAGGTCTAAATTTAACCAAACTATCTCTGTGTTTTGTGTCCTTCACTATCTTCTTTGCCATCTTTCTCTCTCACACACACAAATGGTCAGCCAGCCGACAATCCGCTCAGATGCTCAGCATGGAGGTTCAGTGTCACAGTCAGAAGTTGAGGTTTAAGTGAGAGTGTGTGGCGGGTGGTGTGTAGGCAGTCTCTAGCGCTGCACTATACTGAGGCCGTGAGCTTGTGGGTAATTGCCTGGAAGGCTGTTCAGGCAGGAGCATATGGATGCTAAATCCTCAGATTTGTCCTGAAGAACCCAGCCAACAGCGCATAAGTCACTCAGAGGTTCCCGGGGGGGACGAGGCTTCCTTCTCCAACCACAATATTACACATCCTAAACACAACATATGGCCAAGAGTCCATTGCTAAAGCAAGGGAAGAACCAGAAGGTGATTACAACACCTCAAAATTATTTTTTTTTACATGAGAGTCGTCAAACTCCCTCACCACTAAACATGCAAATATATTCCATCATGACATCCCAGTGACATCATACCGCTCAAGTCAGGTTGAATACCTGATATACTCCTCTAAATGTTACTGGTGGCATAGCTAAAACTAATCAATAACTGTTTTAATTTGATTTGCAGCTAAGACGGCATTTCTTATTTTCAGTACATTAGTGTATTATGTGACAAAATGGAAGTAGGTACAAAAGTACATTTTGTTTGTGTACTATAACAGTGTCTTTCAGAGACTGTAGTAAATCCAAGAGATAAGATGGGTTTCGCAGACTCAAATGCCCCCAATCTCCAGCAGCTGACCCTTTACCACTGCAGAGAGGAGGAGAGAGAGTCAGAGATACAAGGAGAGAGAGAGAGAGAGACTGCAGGATAAGCGCAAACACACTAATAATAAATGGAAAACATGCAAAGGATGAGAAAAATATAGAAGAATATTATATAGAAGAAAGTAGAAGCTGGGATGAGAACGATTTGTTAGGAAGGAAGAAAGGAATATTCGACCGAAAGGAAAAGACTGTTGGAGGAAAACAGCGACTAGGAGGGGAGAGGACAGATGAGGAGAAGAGGAGAGGGGAGGGGCAGCAGGGAGAAGGTGAAAATATTATGGTCTCTAAGCAACTCTGATTGACTCTCCCGTGGGAACGTTTGATACATTCTAAATAACACCAAAGACCACTACATGCCGTATAATTCACCGCTTTCACCTGTACACTAATGCTGGCGTGAATCTTTCAGTAGTGAGCGACGTGTGCAGTTCCTCCAGAAATGCAGCACACACTCTCACAATCGGAAGGCCAGTCTGGTCAATACGTGATCAATCGTATTATCCAGACAATCCCATTAATATCAGAAAATCGGGGAAATCCAGAGAAACATAATTGTCAGCCCAGGCATATACAATCAAGCCAAGAGTGGGAGGGCCAGTTACTAGATGGCACCAGGATCAAAGCGAACATTAGCTTCAGTTGTAATACATTATCTAGTCAAACAGGAACACAAAAAACAAGGGAGAAAGAGGAGAAAAAAAAGAAGGAAAGAAAGAAGCAAGCTCACACGCAGTATAACTCGCTTAAGCGCAGCTGAACGTGCAATGCACAGTTAGAAAGATACCCGAGCAGAATTTAAATTGAAAAGACAATTCGAGAAAAAAACACAGAGCGACCCAATCACTCACGTTTCCATACGTTCCTATAGAAATGCATGAAACTGTGGAAAAAGGAGAATAAAAACTGTATTCCCATCTCTGTTATACAGATCTAAAAGCTATTATCTGCAGCATTGCTATTCTTTTGTTCATCCCTCTCTTTTCTCTCTCCCTGACTGACTGGCTTTGCTCTGTGCTCAGTCACTCTAGAGAAAATCATTTGTTAAATGAATATGTGCAAATGTCAGAGGGTGAGAGATTTATTATTCTCTGCACTGGGACTGACCTGAGGGTTTCTCGACAAAACACGCGCAGCGTACGACAAATACTTCATCTTGTGACTACGTCATACACAAACGCTCACACAAGGACACTAGCTCCCTTTGTAGGGCCCTGGAGAGAGGCTAGTGGGTACAACTGATATCTGGACGGAGCCTTGCAGAGCAGTTCAATCTGTACCTGTCCTCTGCAGCGCTCCAGGTGCGCAGTGGGATATGCATTACATCATTGCCTCACCCGACTCAATGCTCCCTGCTACACACACACACACACATGACTGACAGGTAATGATAGGATTCTAGTCCACGATGGTCTCTGCAGCCGAGCAAACACGAACACACACAGCTGGGCAGATCCTGATCTTATCAATGACCGGTCTGTTAAAGGGGAGGGTGCGAGTGTGAATGGAATGAATGCAGACACTGTTAGAGGGACCGTTTAATAAGGGCAGTTTGCAGCGAACGGAGGAAGAGGACAGGACGCAGTGGACACACGCTCAGGAATCCATGATGGAGGTTTTTGAAGAGTGCAGCCGGAGGGGAGATAAGGAAAGAGGGAGCAAGTTTATAAGAATGGAAAAGAAAGAGAAAGGGCAATTAGAGCTCTTGCAATCAATGAAGTACGTCGCACCAGCGCACCACAGCGTTGCAGGAAAGCGAACCTCCGGCAGCCGTTTTTTACAGAGCGGCGGCGTGGGGACCGTTTGACCTTGGCCGACGAGGAACGAAAACTTCACTCTTTCCATTGCGGCCGCCTCACAATTGTTTCCAAGACGACTCGGAGGTGACATTCTGAAGGCGCAAAGATCCAACGAGAAGGTCGGCTGCCGCTTACCTGTTGTTAAAAGGAGAACCTAGGGCACATTCTCATGCAGCAGTGATTTGAGAATGGCGAGCACTTTGGGAGCGCTCCTCACCCATGCGCTCCTGCTTGTGGTGATGATGTAAGGAAAGCTGGTGTAACAGGTTTTCAGCAGTGAATGTCTGAGTAAATAATACAATCTGTTGCTGATGTTTGCCAGTAAGCCATACTTACACAGCCGCTAACGCAGTCAGACAGTTATGGGCTCAAACCTATGATTATACACAGCACATAGAGTGTCATGCAAACACACAGAGGTAGTGGGTCAAGAGGGATTGTATTGTTAAAAAGCCAACACCCCCACCCCCATGCCACACACACACACACACATACACTCTGCATGTGAAAAGGAGGGCCTGTCCTAGGCACACTGCAAGGACAAGCAAGCCTCTCCTTCTCACAGAATGAATGAAGAGACGCCAATGGAGGACGGGAAAAGAAAGGGCGAAAAAAGGAAAGACGCAAAGCGAAACGGTCAACTCCACACGCGCATTCAACAAGTCAACAAAAGGGGACAGAATCTCTTACCCATTCTGCAGTAGCGTGCTGGAGGTGGGGTTCAGATAGCCCTGGACGCCAAGAGGCTGGACCGGTGAGCGATGCCCGACTGCAGGCTGATCATAGGAGCTCTGCCGCCGTCAAGGAATGTGGCCAGTCAACCTTTTTCCCCAGGTTCGTATCCGAGAGGGGGACAACGTCAGCGCATCCTCCCCTCCATACCCGCAGTCAGCCCCCGTCTCTCTCTCTTGCTCTCTCTCCCTCAATTTCCCTCTCTCTCTTTCTCTGATTGTGTGTGATGGCAATGCAATTGCTGTGTGTGTGTGTGTGTGTGTGTGTGCGTGTGTGTGTATGTGTGTGGGTGAGTGTTTGAAGCGGAGAGGCTTGGTATTGTTCAGGCAGAGGCGGACTGACGGGGGGAATCTTCCTACTGCATCACCCTCTGCTTTCCTTCTCATCCATATTCAGCAAGAGCTCCAGTCCTGTGCTGCATTCTACAGAGAGGCACCTAGCGTGTCCAATCACCCCGCACCCCTCCCCAGCATCGCACACACACACACCAAGGCTTTCTTTCTCGTCGCCCCCCCTCGCCACTTTGACGCAGCACTATAAAAGACGTAGCGCCTCGCTCACGTTTGGGTGAAATATGAAAAGGTAGGATAGAGGGAGGCTGCGGAGGGAGAGAAAGAGAAAACGAAAGAGAATAAGTGAAAGAAAGTGCGAGGGAGTGACCTTGCGTGAAAGGAGAGGAGGTATAGAGCGAAAGCGGGGAGGTGGTGGGCTCCTTGGACGGCCATGTTGGAAACACAGCGAGAGAGAGATTTTTGAAAATGGCAGAAAGGATCTGCCGCAGAGCGCCAAGGGGCCGGCCAACTAAATTACTGCCTATAAATCCAAAGACGCTATACCCAACCAGCGTGTGCGGGTGCGGGCGTACGTGGCAGGAGGAGGGCTATGAGCTTCGTCCCAGGGTCATACTTCATTTGCATAGTAGCTTTTTTCAGCTGAGCTTGATAAATTCTCTACATATCCATACTAGGTATATTGACGTGCTCTGGTGGGTGTCTCGGATGCAGCATGCAGAAGTATGGATGCTTCTGTTCAGGCAAACCGATCACGTTCAACACATCCACTGGACATTCTAGAATACATGAGCCTCTCTTTCTCTCTATCTAGCCCCTCCTTTCTCCACCACCTGCCCAATTCACAGTCAACTCACGTCACCACACACTGCAAGGGCACCTGTGTCCTTCTCTTGCTCGCTTTCGCTCTCTCTCGCTCGCACCTTTTGATCTAATATGGAACCACACAAAAAACACCAACATAAATAGCTCTGCCAAAACCTCCATTAGCAACATTAACATGCCATTTCAATTGCAACTGGTAAGAGGCCACCCACACACACACACACACACACACATATGCTAAGTAACTAACTGTGTGCACACTGGTGAAATTAGCATCAGCAATCAATGACTGTTTACAAAAGGGAGGGAATAAAGAGGATCTCCATCAATGACCATCCTCTTCGTCGCTCGCTTCAGGCCAAAGGTCATGCCAGGGGGAAGGGTTCATTCATTGATAGGATTATGTCTTAATTAACAAAGCTAGGTAGGTGAACAGAATGAATGATGGTCTGAACTGCTAATGAACAAAGAAATAACTTACTGACTAAATAAAAGACTAATCTCTAAACTGTGCTCAATGACATGCTTTGACAAAAGCTGTCATACACACTAGTAAAAATGTTCATCATAACAGCCTCTTTCTTTCCCTCCATTTAAATTGTCGCAATCTTTTCTGTAATTTCTACTCAATTTCAAAATCAAGTATTTTTTAAAGTAAATTTAAAGTAGTTTAATAATGCAGTTAATGTATCACTGCAGAATAAGCTCTGCATTGATTTGATTTGACTGATGTAAGTCAGCAATTAATCAATTTTTTTTACAGTACATAATTGGACTTCAGCTAGCTAGCCTTAGGTTTATTAATGTTTACTAATAATAAACTAAAAAGCTAAGACACTATACAGTCTTTACAGAATTTGTATGATTTTTTTTATTATATAACTTGTCACATTATTTAGCATAATACTACTGCTTCTACTTGTAGCCTACTTCTATGTTAACAAAAACGTTAATTGCACCAATTAATTTATACAAAGCATACTGCAGTGTCAGAATCAAAATATCCATGTAAATTATCTACACAAATAGCGAGTACTAATTAGTAAACCTGCTAATTAATAAAACTGGTTTATATAATCCAATTGTCTGTAAAAGATTTAGAAGTCGAGGCCTCAACGAATAAAATTAGCCTAAATACAACCCTAAAAACCAATCTTATATAGGCTAACATATTCGGCTCACCTCATTAGTTCTGAACAATGAAAAACATAAGCTGTGCAGTCGCTGGACAGCTGCACCGGAGCTCCACAGCGGGAACTACCGCGCCGTGAGCACACTCACAGAAATGTTTACACACGACGTTACTTTTCGCTTCGCTCCAATCCAAAAGATCCAAATACGTACGCACACAGTACATAAAGCGCTCTAGAACAGAACTTTATCACGTGACCTTCTCAGCAATTATTTAAAGAGCAATGACTCAGACCACATTCCGAAGATATAGGCTATGGATCAAAATCTGAACCGGGCACAAAATCCTGCCTAGAAACTGACCATACTTTATATACTACGTGCATTTAAAATACGTAGTATATAAAGAAAATTAATAGCTGTTTTGTTGTAAGCACAAAGTGATTTGCATTACCAGAAACTTTTTTCTAAACCAAGACGGACCCTAATGCTCTTTTGGATATCTATTAAGAGCTCCACACGACGCTATAGAGGGGAATTCAATCTTTTGTTCGCACTGGACTCTGTTACTGCATATGAATAGGGATTAAACTACAGCAGCATGTGCGCTTCATCCCTTTCATTCATTTTCTGCTCAATTTAGCTTCAGTCCCAGAGGGACGGCCACCGCCACACTGCACATCACCCCACCGGGTCATACAGGGTCAAGCTGGACACATGCGACCAGTTTTAATTGTAGTATTAATTGACTGTAACGCTGCTGTAGCATTTAATTTTACAGGTGCTTAAAACGGCCACTTTATAAGCTAAAAAAAGAAAGAAAGAAATAATTCGATGGACAAATCTCTCAAACCCAACATTTTGAACCCCCGCAGAGTTAAAGAGCAGATATTTTAGATAAGCACGCGTAAAACTGAACTAGACACGCGACTCGAGCACACATGAGTCTCGTTTGACACGACTTATTTGGAGCAGCAGGCCCGAGCGCTGCCCGATCTTACCCCCGGTGTTGGAGCGCTTGGTGCTGCTCGCCTCAGTCGGTGTTTCCAGGGGTCGCTTTCGGGAATCGGAGAGATCCGTGTCCATGTGTGGCGACTGTGAGAGGTGCTGAGGAGTAGAGAAGATCCCGTTCTGCTGAACTGCACCGCCAGCCATCATTTTGTCACCGGCTGGAGTTTACACCGCGTTAGCGCACCGAAAACAGTTGGAAAGCACATAAAAATCGGCCAGCGTCTCCTGTCCGAGTGTTTCTTATCGCTTTAAATGTCATAAAAATGCCATGCTGCGAGGTCGCTGAGCGCGTCCGTTTCTGCCTCGCGGTCCACTATTTCCCGTTGGGAGAAGAGGCGCATTAAAGCTCTAAATATAAAAATCCATTCAGTGAAGTCTATTCATTAGCGCGCACCAGACACTTGAGACGTCTGTCTGTTTATTGAGCTCTCACGCACACGCGCAGCGCCCTCTCCAAAAAGATCCTCGCGACCATTGCCTGACAAACTACGAAAAGATAAACAAACCAAGATTCACGCTCAGAATAAAAAGACAGTTCAAAACAACATTGTTTCGCTGGCCTTTTTTCGGTGTCCGCGCAGCGGCGCCGGGGTTTGGGTATATTGTATTGCTGTTGACGGTGTCAGTCCGTTTGTTTTGGAGTGTAAAGGAGAAGATTTTGTTTGAGATGCGCGAGTCTTGGCCAGCGCGCGGCAGCGGCTGCTCGGGTGACAGAGCTCTCGCGCAGCATCCCTGGACCAATTGTGAGCCAGATCGCCAGAGCTCTCCTGACGTCACGGGTCTCATCCTCCGAAAGAGCTTTTCAACGGCAGCAAGTTTAACTAAACTCTCCAATTATACATGTAAACATAATAGCACAATGTTACATATAGAGGTTATTAAATAAAGAGCAACTTTCAGGTGCTACAAAGTGAAATAAATTGCATTTTGCATATACGTCGATTTCCTGAGGCAACACTGCAGATTATTTACGATTACAACAAGACAACAAACGTATGGTGAAACCGTTCACTTAATGTTCCGAATATATTTTGCATAGTTTACATTTAATCCCTGTAATATTTTTAAGTAACTGAAAGTCATCACTCATCACATGATTTCTGTTTCTTTTATTAATGGAAAATTAATGCAATGCTAGCATTTTCTAGCACTACAAATGTAGTATTTTTAATATAGAAAAGTGCCCCAGAAAATAACATGTATACAATACACCAGCTACCCAAAAAAAAAATTAAAAAAATTCACAGATTAAACAGATTGTCCTCACAAATACCACATGGAGTCTTACAATTTAAATAAAGAAACCTGTATTTCACCGTCACAATTTGAGTTTCACAAGTGAAACTCAAAAAGGACAAAACTCATAAAAAAAAAAAAAGAGCTTACTAAAAATGGAACTGCTAATTTCTTCAGTCAAAAAACAGTCCCAAAAGCAATTTGGGGTGATAATTGCATAATTCATAAAATCTGCATTACATGCAGATTATCCATAGGGTAATGTGTTACAAACTTTCATAACAGCAAAGTTTCACATACAGATTATACGTAAACAACACCACATCCAAAGTAAAGTTATGGCTATATATGATTAAAAACATGTTTTCTATAACACACACACACAAAAAGTGTGCACAGGCCATTTCACAAATTCAAGGCCGAAAAACATATCACAGATTTTCAATAAAGCTCATAACCATGAAATAAATTTTTGTATTAATAGTTTCTTTTTTATGTTTTGGGCCAACAGCCAAATTGCTTCAAAAGCAATATTTTCTTTGGACCATGTAAACATTTTAAAGGAAAAGTTTACTGACAGTACAACTAACAATCCCTGGTGCTTGTAATTAATTATGTACCATTCTCCTCCCCAAACATATATGGAATTGCAAGTATCACCACATCTGACCAACCACACACTCAAAGGCAGACCCCTTCCTGTGTCAGACAGGGCTGCTGGTCTCACGGAGAGCCTCTTGAGCTCCTTGCAGTGTCTCTCTTTTCACACATTTCCAATAACCAGAAATACCATACTGGGGCTGAACCTATACAACACACAGGTGCAATCTACAGTAAGTCTGCCGTTTACTGCACTGAGCCACTCACACACAATCACAAAGATTAATAACTACTGTCACAAGATTTGGCTGTAATTGCTCCATCATGTGCATTGTTGTTGGCATAGACATCGGCATATATGTCAGATTTAAGTACCAATAATATTTTTAACACTAATGATATTTATTGAATGATTAATAGCATAACATTGTAAATTAACTAAATGAAACTTTGGAAATTAATAATTAATTATCAATTAAAGGACTAAATGCTTTCTCACCCGGAGTCCACGAAGCACTCTGTCTTTCATCACAGCGAGGAACTCCTTATGGCTCAGACAGTTGTCCCCGTCCAGGTCAAAGATCTTAAAAACTGTGTCCAGAACATTCTCTGAAAGGTCATGACCTGTCGCTATCTTCACTGCTCGCTTAAACTTAGCTATGGAGCAAAAATTGAGGGAGAGTGCTATGCATTTCATTTACTCAATCAATATAATTTTGACCTGTCAAGAAATGCACTGAGGACAATCGATTATTCATTATTAAAAGTTAATAACTACTGGCATCCAGATTAGTCTTACCCATTCCTATTGGCCTGTTGGCATCATTAATCATTTTGACTGAGAAGGCAAAGTCCTCCAGATGGTTGGTAAAGAGACAGAATTCTTTAAATTCATCGAAGGTGATGCTCTGACAAACACACACATATATATATATATATATATATATATATATATATATATATATATATATATATATATATATATATATATATATATATATATATATATATATATATATATATATATATATATATATATATATATATATATATAAAAAGTCAGAAACTTTAAAATATAAGAATGGAATTATAATGCAGTTACAAGCTGCTATGAACGTAAAATTTCAAATGACATTTTTGCTGGTATAGATATTTACTTTTAACATAATATTACAATTTAAATGTATAATATCATGCAACCAGCCATGCTTTTCAGTTGATATCATTTTAGCCAGGTGATGGCAAACAGGTCAGCAGGCTCCAGAGTCCTCTACATACCAATTGTCCAACTCTAGGTGGACTGTAAATGCTTTGTACTCGGGAGTGACATCAGATTTGCCCACTCTACTCTAGAAATATGACTGATGGAGAGCTGCATAGAGCATATTTTTCATCTATATGCTAGAAATCTCTGAAGAGTGGCCACTGGCTTCTTAGCCACTTACTAGTTACATTTAGAATCTATTCCTCTCAAACTAGAAATAATGACCCAAGATCAGTCTTTATCCAAGTCGGTTCGTGTTAAACAGCAGAAATGCTAATAATATTCAGGACTATAAGTGTTAGTGTTTAAAAGATGTTACCTGTCCAGTGGGGATCCTCTTTCTCATGTTTTCCCAGTATGCCTCATTGTTCTCTTCATTGGTGTAATGAAGCAGCCATTCAGCAAAGTCCTCCCGCCTCATGGTCTTCATCCCGTTAGAAAACCGCAGGAACTCAACTTCTTGCACTTCTGCCTGCAGGTCTTCCATAAACCTACACAAAACCAAAACATCCTTGCAATACATCTCTCAAGGCTAAACAAAGTTAAAACACAGGATAGTGTTGTAGTTAGAGAGCCAGTTTACTTTGAATGTTACTTTGAAATTCTATCAATTATGCTATTTTTGCAGCACACATAAAGAACATTTTAGTTTATATTATACAGACACTAACATATTAAAGGGGTCATATGATGCGATTTCAAGTTTTCCTTTCTCTTTGGAGTGTTACAAGCTGTTTGTGCATAGATAAGATCCCTGAAGTTGCAAAGACTAAAGTCTCAAAACCAAAGAGATATTCTTTATCAAAGTTAAGACTCTGCCACGCCCCCCTAAAACGGCTCGTTCTAACACGCCCCCACATATCGTCACTATGTGGAAATATTAGCATAATGCCGCCCAAATGTGCACGCAAAGAAAGAAGGCGTGGTTTCAGAAGGAGGGGGCTTTGTAGAAAACGAAGCGTTTGAGAAAGGCGGGGCATAGAGGACCTACAATAATGTACAGTATTTGAAAAAGAATGTGTTTTTTGAACATTAAAGCATGTCAACATATTCTGTTACACCAAATACACAAAATAATGATCTTTAAAAAAGCATCATATGACCCCTTTAAAGTAAACACAGGCAGTACTTTACCTGCAGAAATCTTTGTATTGTAGTTTATTCTTGCCATTTTCCCCAAAAAAGAACACCTGTAGTGTAGTGTTGACCTCATCAACACGGTCTGAAAGCTGTAAAGAAACAATCAAAGCTATTCAGTACAACTACAAAAATATTCAATACAACAGAACTCTGATATTAAACACAACTAGGCAATTTAATAAATATTAAAAAATAACATATTCTAAATCTCTAAATAACATGCAAAGTTGCTGAAGTTACACAACATGTACCCACCTCTGTCCCATCCTGCCTTAGAAGCTCTTTTCTCGGTCGAATTATTTTCTTCAGCTTCAAAAAAAAAAAAGAACAGTTAGTAGACTGCTGGTAAAAGAAGTCACATTAAAAAAACTGACTCTTATTCACTCGTTCTCTTGTGTTTATGCATATGTTTGTGTGTTAAGGTACAGGATGTACATCCACGCTAAAGAAAATGATGAGTCTATTCAAATAGCATTTTCAGCTTCAGTGAATCTTCTAGCCCTTGACCACATGGCAAACTGATACATGTGAATAGACTCAACATTTAAATCCAACTAAATTCTAATTAAACTGCATTTTTCTGATGCTCCTGTCATGCATCAACCATTCCCACATACCTGTTGCACATCGGTCTCATCTCATGCCAGCATTAACAGAAACACAAAGCAGACAGACCCTAATGACCACAATACTTACAATCCAGAGTGTTTAAAATCCAGTCAAGAGAACTTTCTTAGTTCTGCATAGTTCTTCATATAATTACATTTACAACAAATTGTTTTTTAAACATTTGCACTTATCAGTTTGACTGTGAAGGCAACATGGTGTCATATAATCCAATGTGAAAAAACATTCCATACCTTCTGAAATTCCTTCTTGTCCACATGCTCATTGCCATCAATATCAAGCATTTTGAAAGCAATATGAAATCCTGTTTGAGGTTCTGGAATCACAGTGCAGTTAAACTGAGTAAAGCAATGGATACCGGCTTTCAGGAATAATCGGTGACCCCTCAAGTGAGCAAAAGAAACCCCACCACACACACAGTATAAAGAAAATTAATGAGATGGTTTGGTGTATTGCAAATCAATGTCAGTCAATATCACTAATATTACTGTGGTATAATTTGGATGTTATGGTACAGTTTCATAGCAAGCACCGAGTGAACATGCACATGTACAATATGCAATGTATTTGTATTTGTCACTAAATTAGGTGACAAAAAACTTTATATCAAAAACAAACAGAGCTTTAAACATGCACAACTGGACTGAAACTGACATTACTGAACAGTTTGAATTTGTTTTTTGCACATCTATTCCAGTACACACCAACAATAATCATTGATTGTATTCAAGCAGTTAAAGAACAATAAATTGTGGTGCTGAAACTTCACAGTGATTAAACGGTGAGTCAATTTTCTTCCTACTTGTCTTCTGTGAATTCTTGGGACAAAGAATGAGAACTTTAAGGACATACTCTGATTTCTATTCCACTTTTTTGTGTCACAAAACAAGTCGTCAAAATTCTAATCCAAACTAGAAGATATACTCATGCTGTATGTTTAATGCTGCATGCAACCAGTGAGCACAATGATGCATTGACCATTATAGTATTTGTATTATTTCACAGTAGCCAGTCACTCTTTCTTATCACATTTCAATTCAGACTGCAGTCTTAACCAAAATGAATTTTCCATGATGCTGTTGATTCAGTAGTGGTGCAGCACAGTGCAGACATATTTTGATACAGTGACAAAGAATCAAACCTCAGGAATGTCACCAAAAATATGCAAATTGCCAAGTACAGAACAAGTCCTGCTGAAAATGAAGTGGCGTAGTGTCCATTTATGGCTACAAATGACTAAGACTATAAACCTGTGTCCATCTGATTATCATTCTGGACTGGCACTGATAGGACACGGTGTATGAAATTATATAAAAAGGTTAGGAAATACTTACTTGTAAGAATAGTGAGGAGAAACAGGTACTCTGTGTAAGAGATCAGCCCTGAAACAATGGTTCAGGAGATGTATTAATTATGTAATTAACATTCAATGTTAAATTATGACAAAATAAATGTTTTTATAAACCATACCATTTTTAAAATTAAGTTTTCATTATGGCACTTGCTCAATGAGAGGAAGTTAGCACACACAAACACAAGTACTTTACTAAGGCAGGTGGACTCTGGCATACGTGAGGCATGTGTTTGCTTAACATATACCAGTACCTTTGTCTCCGATTCCTCTGAACATGTTATTTCCTGCCTCAGCCCTGGAAGCCACCCTTATCATATCGTCCACATCCTGTCCATGGACCAGTCAGATATTAGGCAAAGCTTTGACTGTGCCATTGAGAGTTCCAGCAAAATCACACATCATACACAATCATATAACAGTATTCATTCAGAACAAGTCTCTTTGTTTTTTGGAGTAACATTCATTTGAACTAACAAACTGCACTTACTGCTTTAGTCAGCATCTTTTTCTGTAGTTTGCCTGTAAAAGAGAAAGATCAAGGATTGCTTAACAATATTTTGCAGCATTCCTGAAAATCAACAGAAAAATAGCTTTGAGGCCTGTAGTGGTGTTTGAAGAGATATTGGATTACATTATTACGCCCACTTTATGAATACAAGGCCTAACATGCAGAGGTGATTATGCCAGATAAACAGCATTTTCCCTCAGATGCACACTCAAACCAAAAACACGCTTATATAAATAAGAATGTAAGTGAGAAGAACGTACATGTCAGCATTTTAGGGTCTTTGTGTTGACTGGTCTCTCGCTGTAAGATTGCTTTGATAAGATGCATGTTATGAGAATTTCGTTGATAACAGCCCTCATAAGGAGTTTACATTTACATAAAATCAAATGTGGCTAACACTTTATTTTACAGTGTTCCATGTACTTACTATAGAAATACCAGTACATTATGCATAATTACATGCAACTAACTCTAAACCAAACCCTAACCATATAGTAAGTACATGTTGTTTATTAATATTAATCACCTAGTTGTGCAATTACACTGTCAAAAGGACACCTTAAAATAAAATGTAACCCAAATGTCTAATAGAATAAAAATGCAAGCACAATATCACATAATAATTTATACATAATACTGCCTCCCTAGTGTATGTTTGTTTGTTTTTGAATGTTCGCACATCCATATGGCGGCATGTCACTTACGATCCACCTTCTCCATCAGGACTGAATGGAGGAAGTCTCTGGGTGTCATGTATGGCTCCTCTTCATAGATCATGGAGGCAAACTGGTTAAACCGCAGGCGTCTCATGGACACTGGTGGTACTGTGATCTCCTCTTTCTTTACAGATTAAAAAAAATGGAGAGAAAGAGCAGATGTTTTATTTATGAGTAGTGCACCTTTATTTTATTTAGAGCTAGACTTGGACTCATTAGAAACATTAGAATTATGAATCTATCTATAGAATTAATTCTACTAAATTTAAATAATGTTGAAACTGGAAAGTTCAGTCAATTCAGTGTCATTTTAAACAAAAAGTAGGTGACAATTTTATGTCTTTAAGCACAAGGCAAGAAGGGGAGCAACGTTGTTTTTGTTAACTAAAATTAAACAAACAAACAAAATATATTTTCATTATTAGAAAAAAAGCTGAAATAATATAAAATTTAAATATTAAATGAAAAACTTAAAAAAAAAAAAAAGTTGCCTTGAAAAATAATGGAAATAAGATAAAAACAAGTTTAAATTTTAAACTAATTTTAAATTCTTAAAAGTTAAGTAAAAAAAAAACAATAAAAAAGACAATTGCACACAAGATTCTAAAACTTAAATTAAAATGTAAAATATAAATATAAAAGTAAAAACTAATTTAAAATATCAATAAATACTATAATAGCATATAAATACTAAAATAATACTGAAAGAGAGCCAAAAGTGGACTCAAGATTTTATACTTGTTACTTTTTTGCACAACAATTATGAAATAAATGTATTAAAAATGTTTTTATTCAGCAAAGGTTTGCAATGAATAAAACACCTGTTATCATAAGATTACCTTTAAAACGTTTAAGCAGTTTACAGAATTTTCATAACTACAGTAATATGTGGTCATGGATATTTACTTCAATAATGAACTCCTGGCTCTCATTGTAACATCTTCGGTTTAAATTAATTCTGTAGATTTTCCAGATTTTAATCACATAATGAGCCATTAATCATACATTTAATTATGTAATCTTACATAATTGTACATCTGTTCCATCTTTATTTGACCCTCTAACTCTAGCACTTTCTATGCTATTTTAATTCTACTATCTATTTATCTTCTTTTTTATGAAAAAAAACCCCATTAGCTTTCTATTTTTTCTATTCTATCTACTTGTTTTTCTTTGTGTGTGTGTGTGTGTGTGTGTGTGTGTGTGTGTATA